ACACACACACACACACACACACACAAACACACTCACTCACTCACACACACTCACTCACACACACACACACATCACCATAACACTAACATCACAACACACACCACCACAACAATAACTTTCACCACACCACAACTTCCACCACAACCCCCACGACCACACTAACATCACCACTCCCATCACAACACTTGCTTCCTCACCACCATCACTACCACCACCATCACTAAAATACCACCACCACCCCCACCACCACAATAGGACCCTGATGAAGAAACAGACTCAGATTTGGTCGCCCCGTTCCATAATGCAATAACCCAAAACGTATTGAAAGGGGCGCAAAGCTCATAAACTTCATTTCTCGTGTCGTGTCTCGTCGGCCACTCGAATACTCCGGCCAATCAACTTGCTGCTCATCCACCGACCTCAAGCAGCGGCCAAATTTGCATCAGCCACAGACTTCGAGCACCTGCCAACTTTTCATCGTCTACCGACATAAAAGTACCAAATGTCAGGTTACGCGGAACTAGTTGCTTTAACTACATTACTTTTTTTTTTCTCTTTTAACACATTTTGCTTGTGGCTCGGTCAATAACATGGCGTCGGTAGTGTAGTGGTCAGATATTGTGGGTTCAGGGGTTCGAGCCTCAGCTCGGTCCGACGTTGTGTCCTTGAGAATGGCGCTTTACAAGGATGTCCTATTTGGTGTATCCCTTTCGGCGTTGGACGCTAAACATGGAGGCCCTGCTCTTAGTTTAATAACTTTATAGTGTTAATTAGGGCGTTAAAATCATACCATTTCACATTTCATTTCACCGTCAATAAGTAATAATGAGATGCAAGAAGAGACTTTGTCTCAGATACAAAAGAAGATGTCATCAGAAAGTGTTAAATGATGGGTGGTTTGAGGGCGCCTCTTTTAGGTCCTACTTCTTTACTCTCACTCTGTTGTTTCTGTCTGTCTGTCTGTCTGTCTGTCTGCCTGTCTATCTGTCTTGTTTGTCTGTCTGTCTGTCTGTCTGTCTGCCAGTTAGCATTTACTTTTTCCTACACTAAATAACCATTATTGCGTCGATGTGCTTCTATTAAATCTAATAAAAAGAATGAAGGGTTAAATGGATACGAAATGTTAACACACCCCAGCGCACAATCGTGACAATAATACGCCATCTCAAAGCGCTTTCATGCTAAGCTTCCTGGTATGTGTGCACTTACGTGCGGAGTGTCCTGATATGGGTGCAGTGGAGAACAATAGATACGTCCCCCAAAATTGCCCCTTACCAGCAGTTTAAGCTAATTGACGCCCAAATTTGGGGGCCCGGAAAATTTTCGCGGGCTTTGCTGGGATCATGAAGGAAATTACTTCCGGGATTTCACTCCAAGCAGTGTCGACTGGCCATGCCACATCCATTTAGTGCTCAGGGCGCACGCAACTAAAAAAATTAGGCCCGTTACAGCTAGCCAGATTCGATTTATTCAGTCTTTTTAGAAGGATCAAAATTGCTGTTTCCATTGCTTGAAATCCTGCTAAGCGCCACTTGCCTGCTGGATTCTTATTTAATGGAAGGTCAAAGGGTACCACTGGTACGTCTTGATTTTTTTCTTCCCACCCCGTTCTTCTGTCTGCTCATTTTTTCCCACTGGAGTGGTTTGAGGGCGCCACTGGTAGGTCCTACGTCTTAACTGTGTCTTTGTCCCTTCTGTCTGTCTGACTTACTTTTCCCCAGCACTAAATGACCTTTATTGTGTCGATGTGCTTCTCTGCACTCAAACTCAAACCAACCCTTTGCTGCATCTGCTGGTTTGATGAACCACGACAGACAGAAACAAGACAGACAGAAACAAGACAGACAGACAGAAGCAAGGCAGACAGAAGAAAGGCAGACAGAAACAAGGCGGACAGAAACAAGTCAGACAGAAACAAAAAGGAGAAAGGCCAGCAGAAGTAGGACGTACCTGTAGCTCCCTCTGTCCTTTGGGCGTGGCTGTTGTTCCATCCAGTGACGTGTGCTGGGCGTGTGGTGCGGTCTGTGGGACTGTGCCCTGATCCAACAGTCCTCCCACACAGTCAGTCGTGTGGCGCGGTCTGTGGGACTGTGCTCTGATCCAACAGTCCTCGCACACAGTCAGTCGTGTGGCGCCATCTGTGGGACTGTGCTCTGATCAAACAGTCCTCCCACACAGTCCGTCAGGGGAGCCGGCCCTGCCCTTTGATCTACGTCAATGCCGACTGACTTTGGGTAAGACAAGTAGGTTCCACAGATGTGACTGGTTTGTGTAAATACAGAGTTGGCCTGGATGGAGCAACAAAAAAAAAAGAAAACGTTGTGATAGATAGTGCGATCGATAGATAGATCGATAGGTGAATGAGGGAAACCGTGAGAGAAAGATAGATAGATAGTCCGAGAGAGAGGGACATTGAGAAAGAAGAAAATTGAGTGGGAGATGGAGAGAGAGGGGAGAGAGAGGGAGAGAGAGAGGGGGGGGTGTTGATATAAAATTTGCGGGTAGACACGTCGATCTAGAAGAGACGGTATGAAAACGAGTACCTTAACAATAAAAAGGTGTGACAGTGCAATCTTTGTTGTATAGTGATACCGTTTCGAGAACGCAGATTTTAATGCAATAAAACAGAGCTCATATTCGTCTGCCTGTCGTTGATGTGCGTGTTGAGACGTAGATAAACCAAGGGACACAAAAGCAGGACAAGGATTAAGTTCGCCCATGCCAGCCGGAATCTCTGTTTACGTATGCATGTCTTGCGTGAAACAAACTCAGCATAACTTCCAGGATATTGAGTCTGATGTGCTCGATCTTCTTGAGCCGATGGAAGCGTGCGAGATGACAAAAAGCATCGTTCTGAGGCGCAAAATTTGATTTAGCGTCTCTCTTCGAAATAACCTGAAGGATAGTCTTTTCGCCAGCTCCTGTTCGCCTTCTCTATGACTAAGGACCGTCTGGGCCTGGTTGTGCATGAAGAACTGAGAACCTTTTGAAGGCAAACAATCATTATTTTCCTCATCTTCGTACCCGACCGTTAAGGAGCTTCGCGTCGGCTTGCATTCCCGCCACGATGTTGACACAAATAACGAGTTATGAAGGCTTCAGGACCTCGGGTCTTCATTGATTTGCTCGTGGAAACAAATTTCCTGCTCCCTTTTTTCTTCCTCGCTGCAACCCAATTGGGATTTGAAGATCTTTGAGCACGTCAATGAAACTGAGTTTTTTCGCCGTATTGACCTTTTCGCTGGAGACTACTGTTCAGATCGGTACTCTGAAAAACAATACGACTTAACTTTATTTCCTTGTTGGAAAAAGTTCCGCCTGTTGCTAAGTTGATATCTTTTCAGATATTGGGAGATTTAAGAAGACACGCAGTCGACCCCGAATTGTGAAATATTTGGTGCGTGAACCGTATAGTAGTAGAGTTGGGAAACACCAAGAAAACGAATAAAAGGCGGACCGAAAGGAGAACGAAGTATGTCAGATAATCTCGTGCGTTCAAGTGAAAATGGAAAGTTTTGAGCAAATCTGGCGAGGGAGGACAATTTGAATTTGTCCATGGCAGAGGTAAAGAGTGGGAGGCGATTTTTTTTCGGGAAATTTGATAATGCAAAGCGACTTCTGGTTATGGCGGGAGAGGATTGGGGG